ATTGTTTTATGGATGGGAGGTCGATGCCGTAATTCACAGAGTTTATTACGAGCGTAATCCTTCGTGTCATACTAAACAATGCAACAATTCTCGCTTGCAGAATGCTAAGCATAGTTAAAGAAACAAAAGAAAGGGTAGGTTCGCGTCAATATACGATAGGATTTATCTTAGATATGTTTGAGCTTGCAAATAAAAATACCGTCATTGTTTCGTTGAAATTGCCCTAGAATGCAACATGATAGCATTGCATCGCGAGAATTAATAAATGATTGATATGATTGATAATAAATAATATTGTCTAAGTATGAATACATATTATTCAGAATATATGTCATATGAGAGAATTTACGTGGAAATGTTAATACTAAAAATTAGTTAACGTAATATCTAGAATTGTGCACAAGACTCAACACAAGATATTCAAAAAAATATACTATTGATATTGAAAATTTCGAGAATTCTTAAATCTTATCTTCATCTTGAGTGAATCTTTATAAGACAAAAATCTTCTCTGGTTTTGTTTTGTCTTGATTTTTATCTAATACTAAACGATTGTCTAAAATTGATATATTTAACGTAACTTTTATAATATAATTTAAGATAATTATTACTATTTACATCATTTGTTTACTTCCCAAAACACAAGATAATATCAAGACTAGGTTTGATATTACTCTTACAATTCTAATAATATCTTAACTTTAATAAAAGCTAATCAAATCAATTTATTAAAAATGAGAGTAAATTACGGTTTTTTAAGCGCGTCGTCATTCTAATTAATTTTCTTAATTTTAATATTCGTTTGATTTTTATACTTCTATACATAAATATGTATATTCATATGAAGAAATATATCATATTATTACTATCGCAATTTTATTTGTATAAGATTTACATAATATATGGATGATAATAATTTCTTGAATTTCGCGGAAAACGCCAGTAAAGGGCGTCTATAATGTTGTGATCTCGCCTACGATCCATGAGCATTCATGTCTCTGCCGATGTCCTGATTATGCGATTAGAGATATTCCTGATAAAAAAGGTTCAACAATCCTTCGGGACTGATTTGTATATACTTGTTTCTATTATACCCACGCGCGCGTGCATTACAGGTCCAACAGTGAGATTAGTGACGAAACTGTAAATATCATCATTATCCGACGCGTTTCGGATATATGCATGTACGTGTGTCTGTAGGCGGGATTCCTTCTGTCGATCCGATAGTTTAAATACCACCTGTCAAACATGCAACACTGGTGCATCCTAGTTGCCGTCTCTCGCTTGTTATAAGTGATTTCGCGTCCTTTGCTCACTTTGATTTGTTTACGGAGCATGTCCTTATTCTATCCTTCATTTCGTGTATCCAGGAGATTATTGGAATTACTCTTCAAGCGAGAGAGATATATTGATTCATTAAAGGATGAGAGAAATGGTGCAAAGATTTATTATGCGAACTCTGATCCCGCGCCTTATTCAAGATGCATATAAATTAACTAATCAAATTTTATTCCTTGATCTCTCATGAGAAGAAAATTGACAAGGATTCTTAAAAGAATTTCTTAAAAGAATTTTATTATATATTATATATTATATATTATATCGCTTTTTAACTAATTAGAGATGCAAAAAAGGATACACATAAATCTCTTTGCATAACAGTAATATCTTTGATTATCGACGGCATATTGCAGAAATCGCGCATGAAATATTTATAAGCAATTATTTTCTTATAATTATTTATTAGTTATGCGTCCATATTCAGTTTCAAGATACCCACGCGCAACTTATCCGTGAGATCTTCCGAGAATGCAGAACAAATATGTAATTATATTGATACATTTGTTATTTAATTTTATAAGAGGTTTGCTTTTTTCGAACTGACATCTGAAATGACCTAATTTTACCTAGTAATAACATTTTGACTCTATAAACTTAACTTTTTATATTGAATTGACAATCTTTCTCAAGGGAAAAATTATTATACATATAATAATTAAATTTATTAAATTTATTATATTATTATTGTTTATATATGTGATATTAAATTTTATTAATTTATAAGATCGCTCATATACACACTTTGTTTATTTTAATTGTTATTGAGACTTATTTATAAATACTTAATTATAATAGGTTCTAGTTCAGTAACGAGTTGCGCGCAAAAAATGTTAATTTATTTTTACGAGAAAGAGAAAGAATTTATATCATCTTTCGCTTTCAATATAGTAATCTTATAATGTAATGAGCAGTGTTTGCTGTAAATAATTTCAAAATTATCTAGATAAAGATAAAGATAAAAATCCGTCTTAGATGAAAAATTTATCTTAGATGAGATAAAGACGATTTTGCTTTTACTTAATCTAGATGAAAGATGAGATAATTATTGCGATAATCTAGATAATTATCTAGATATTTTTGTTTATTTTAGAAGATCATAAATATTTGTAAAAAATGTGACGCAGATTATAAATGGGATATTAAAATCATAAACACATATTCTTTCTCTTTTCCTAAAGAATATGTAAATAATAGCAAAAAGGTATATAAATGATATGATAAATATTTATTTATTAATTTATATTTATAATATATTTATAATATATTAATAATAATAATATAAAAAAATATATTTTAGATATTTTAGATAAATTTTTTGAAGCATGCCTGGAAAACTTTTTTGCATAATGGAAACGTCATCTTAGACAATTTTTAGATAAGATGACATATATTTTTTGTAAGATAAAGATAAAGATACTTTGTATTTCTTCATCTAGTTAAAGATAAAGAAATGGGTCATCTTTATCTTTAACTAGACAGCAAACACTGGTAATGAGAATGTAATAAAAGGAAGTTTTAGAATAATCTGGAGAAGACGCGCAGGTGGATTGGTCTGCAAACTATTTCGCGAGATCTGCATCGATCTTGAAGGACCACGGTATTTCGTCCGAGGTATGTTGCAAGGATGACGATGGGCGCCGCAGCAAATCGCCGTTGCATCGATTCGCTGCGGTGAAAGGAATACGCCCTGCGATGATCCATGGTAAATCCGGCATCGGCAAACTAAACTCTGTGATGAGACCAAGATGTTACGAGACGAGCGAGATAATGACAGTTTTCCCGGCGACAAGCATATATCATTCTTAAGTTCGATTTCATCGAGCGGATTTGTAGCAGGGCTGTTACTCTCAATTTCTAAGATTTGAAATAATTCGAGGCTCTCTCTTTGAATCTTTGAAATTTAAAGCGTCCTCGAAATTTGAAGATAATATTGAAGCTTCGAAAAATATATTCGTGCAAATGACAAATTTATTTAGAGAATATTATATTGTACATACAAAGAATTAATTAATATATATGCTCAAAAAATATGTAATTACTTCTAAATTACACTTTCGAAATATTATAACATGAAATATTAATAATTTAATATAGAAGAATTTTAAATAAAATCTTCTTATTGAATAAATATGAAGTGAGTTTTCGGGGGGAAGTATTTCTTGTTCTGAAATTATAAAAGATCGTGTGCCGATATTTTCTATTATCTAACTTGAAAGATTTTATTTTTTTTTAATGTTGCGTGCAATTCATATTTATGTATCTTATTTAGAAAATATATTTATCGCATAATATGGACTTTAATTAATAAATAATATTAAGTTATTGTTAGGATTAAATTATATAATATTAGGATTAGCTTTCGGGTTTTTGAGCCGCACTAATTCTTTATTTGATTTCAATCTTTCGTAAACATTTCGGTTCATGAATAATCAATCTGATATAATATCAGATTAGTCTCAAAATTCGAGACTAGATAAGACTAGATATCTCGTGGAATCCTAATTTAAATCGTATATACGCACTTATACTTTATATGTATCTTTTGCTTTATATGTATCTTTATAATTAGACTATAATCGGAGCATATGTGGAAGATAAAAAATTTCTCATTAGTGTTTATTATGATGTATGTATGTACAAGGAAGTATAATCTCTCAAATGTAAAAATTGTAGAGATTGGCATATGTATTTTTTGCGCGATAATTATTATTGCGCGGTATTAATTTATATTTGCGCGATAATTATATGCACGGTGCGTATGTCATGTGAGAATGGTACAAATAGTTTCTGCGAGAGCAAAAAAAAACGCTAATACGCAAGAACGCTAATTTGCAAATTTAATTCATAACAGAATAGCATGCGTACAAACTGTCGACCTCCAAATGATGCGAACGATATATAAATATATGCGCGAGATGCATAAGAATTGCGCGAGAAAAAACATAAAGATTAAGCGTGAGACATACGTAGCAGTTAACAGGCGACATATTACATATATATACGCGTTACATATATACGTGCTTAATATACATAAGAAGGCTCGTGCCAGGACTGAGTAATATTGCGGACACATTCTATAGTTAACTCTTTATTCTCTATTCTAAATACGACTTATAGAATTATTATTTTGAACTATGTTTAAAAAAAAGAATATTGTCTTTTATATTCAAAAAAATATTTTCGGAGCGCCTTGTGTTATTTTCCATTTCTTTTTTACTTAAATCATGTTTTTCAGAATACTTTGTAATTTTAAATTTTGTATTTCAGGTATACGTTCTTTTATAGTATATATTTTATATCTACTTTGTGATCCATATCTACATTGAAAACGTAATATTGCATTTATATGTAGCTAACGAGTTTGTATGCGTAACATGCCGCTTATGGAAGATCGCGATACGTGGGCACAGAAATGCTCACGCGGATGCACAGGAGACACGTCAAACGCGAGTGTAAGCGAGGGAACCATCGGTTACCACCTACCTATCGTCTAATCGCAGAAAGCCCCGACCACCATCCACCACCCTATGCTTAGTTAGCGGATTACGCTAATAAAGTCCAAGATTTGTTCTCCCCTTCAACCTCCGGAAAACAGCCGATGGCGGGGCAAAAGGGGGCACAACCGGAGCGTCTCGGTGACTATAAAGCCTCTCCGTGATCCACCTAAGCTCGCATCTTTAACTGCAGTTAACACGAGAGTCTTGTACGGGACTTTTCGGTAGATCTTAGTGCACTATTCACACGTATAGTGTGATATTCGCTGGCACTCAAGTGTGCACACTGGTTCGCCGATAACGGATTGAAGAGTCGCCTGGGCTGGCTTCCGGAATAATCCAAAAATCACTATGAAGATCCTCGTGAGTGTAATCTTTCAATTTTTCTTGCGCATTTTATCGGTCCAGAGAAAAATGTTTCGCTGATGTAGAAAGATTTTTAGATAATAAATTTATCGCTTTTTTTTGCATCTTCTAGGACGTTGTTTATAATATGTAGAAGTTATAACAGTAAATTCTAGTAATGGCTAAAATTTAGATTTTATTGTCAAATATTAATCATTGCATTGAATAAATATGAATTTCGACACTGTAGATAGAATAATTCATGTGAGAGATGATTTTTCTAATGTAGCATAGTCAAACTATTTTGACAAGTTCAAACTATGATTAACTTTATATTATTTTGATTAACTTTATATAATTATGATAGATAAGAAAGTCTTCTTCTAAATTTTATTAATTTGTTTATTAAATTTTATTAATAGTTATAAATTCTGTCTCTGTCATTTAGATTGTTTAAATACAAAACATTTGCAATTTCTCAATATTTGTTAATTATTTATCTATCTCAGTTAATTTTTCGTATCTAGAAAATTGTTATTGTAATTGCAAGAATACTTTTTGAACTTACGATTAGTAACTTTAATTGGTCACTACATCCGTAATCACATTATTTTAATTAAATTTAATATTGGCTATTTATAATTAAGATTATAATCATAAATTTAATAAAATTTTAGTATAATCAATATAAAAAGAATTAAAACATTTTATTGTAACAAAATGTCAAATTAGTTAATATTCATCCGGAAAATTCTCTTTCGATTTTATTTTATTTTCTGATATTTTTGTAGAAAAATTTTATTGAGAGAAAGATTTTATCAGCCAATAAAGGAATTACAAAAAAATTGAGATAAGTGTTTTTCTGTACTCGATTGGAAACGTATTAAACATTACAAGAGAATAATAAATGAATAAATTTTACGATACTTTTGCTCAATTTTTGTAACAGAAAGTGTAATCTTGATCTAATCTTTTATGTTTGTGTTATTTAACAGAATGTATAATATATTCAATCGAGATTCTGCGATTGAAATTCTAATCAAACATGATGAAATCGTGGCAATGGAATGTAGAGAAATTTTACGATTGCCCGATTTTTTACGTTGACGACCTGATTACTGAAAGTTTGGTTACGCAATCCTACGTGTGAATTTATTAAAATTCGCAATTTTATTCGTGATGCGGCATCGGAGAAAATATTTTACCGAACATATATTGGTTGGAATGAAGAGAACGATTTTATCGACGTTAATTTCGTCATTTCCGTTCGATGCATACAGATAGTAATTGCAATATTCTTGGAAAAATATAACGATGGTTACAATTACGATGCGAACTCGCATATTCCGTTCCGTATCGCGTAAATATTATCTCTGCTCGATATAATTGCATCTCGTGCGACTGATTTATAATGAAATGCGCCGAGACGATGATATTTTTGCATTGAGGCACCGTTAGATAGATTATTTCTGTGCTCCTCGTGTTTATTATAATCTTTCTTTCTCGTTAGTTCTCGCACGTGAAAAATATTACGCCTTGTGTCGCAAATCACTTAACTCTCCTCAGTTTTCAACATACAATGGAGGAAGCCTCTGACGAGCGTGAGACGAGAATTATGACGCACGGGATACGTATAATTATTCATAATCGGCTTGAATGCAGTGAATCGAAATTCTTCTGCGTTCCAAACTGCCTACCCATTTCATCCTACCCACTTATTTAGTCTCGGCCCTTTTGCATGAGTAATACATAAGATTATATAATATTTCGCGCGATTCATGCTGGATCTGTCAATATCGTCGTGCTAATCTATAATATCAGATAACAGTTTGATATTTTTTTGCAAATAACGCTTGCTTTGCAATTGGAATAATAATATGTAATTTATTCTAAAGCTGCTATATTTATAGAATCTTTCAAATAGAAAAATAGAAGATATTTTATCCTTTTAATAATTTTTATAAATGTTATATCTCTTTCCCTTTCTTTTTTCGTTCTTTAAGAAATTTTGAGCAATATACATCAATTTGCATATTAATAATTATTTTGCAGATATTGCTACTCAGTTTGACGATGATGGCGAGCGCACAATTCAATAGGTTTACGACTCCACAGCCGGCGCAATATAATCCCCAATATTACGGTCGGCCTTACTACGCTATACTGCGACAATCGCAAGACTCATCTCCGGATGGATCATATTCTTACAGGTGAGATCATCCTTCCGTCTTTCATCCCAAAGCATTCGTACATTTCGTCGAGAGAACGATCTCGACACGCTCGAGGAATCTCGGTTGCCCTCGAAGAATACATGAAAAACGCTCGCGCCATTCGATCGATATAATCGCGAAGCTAACACGCTCAGTGTGACTGCCAGTTTTTTTTCATTATCTTTATCGAGCAGTGATTATGTGATTAACAGGCAGGAAGGAAATGCATGCACCGGTAATGTACAAAATGATTACGTGTCTAAACTTTATTTATTGTTTCTTAATATAGATGTATGTAAGCTATTTCAGATTTCTCGTACTTCCTTTCATAAATGATAACTAAAGAAAGGGCATAAAAACAAAAATATATTTTTATTTTCAAAAGAAATTTATATTAGTCAAATTTTTATTTTCTCTTGAAGTGTATATATTAGAAGCATTTAATCCATTAATTATTAATGGAGTTTACAAAAAAATTAATCTCTGTCAAGATGGAATTTTTTCTTGTCTGAATGTTGTTAGGTCAGATATAGCAAGAATTTATAATTATAATTTAAAATTTAGTTTTTTAAAAGAAAATGTTACATTCATGTTACCAGTTCGTGAAATATAATTCCTAAAAATATATATGATTATATTGTGATTATATTTAAACATGTGCAAATATAGAGAATCTCATTTTCAAAAATATATGTTAAATTAGACATTATGTTAATAATTAGACATTGTGTTAATAATTATGTGCAATTGATCGATATAATCAATATTATATGTATATATGATTGTCTGAAAGGAAGTGGGATGTATAAGATTGGTTATCAGGATATGAGTCCATATAAGCATTATTCAGTTGCTATTTCTCGATTCAAAAATGACGCCAACATTTTCTTACCATCCAAAACAGGATATTGAATCATTGCAATTATATTAAATGTTTGTGTAACTTTCGTTAGCCGGACTCGCGATTATTTTTATTATCTACCTACACAAGCAATTTTCGAATCTTTCGATATGTACATGGTGAAGATAGATGCTCAATTAAAGAGAAAAAAAATTTAAATCAACTTGAAGGCTAATAAGTTTTATATGGTTCCGTTTTATATAATCCGAAATGTTAGTCCGAGTACAATAAATTTTATTAGCGTAATTATAAAGTAAAAATCAAGATGGAGTCATATGTCAATTATAATAAACATATGCACTGCGCATTTATGAACATTTCTCGTATAATGTATAATATTGTCATAATCTCATAAAAATATTTTCAGTTCAATTTAATTTGTTATTTAACTTTCTTAAGAATTTAGAAATTATATTATAATTATAATTATATCTCGAATATTTCATCATATTTTATTATCATTAAATAATTAGTTTTTAAAACGTTGATATAAAATCCAAATACATAATGTAATAATATAGAACATAACTGATTTATTAAAACTAATATGTCAAAAATTAGATCACTATAGGGATGTTGAATATTTATATTTTTATTTATTAAAAAGTATAATAAAAGTGAGTTGCGTATAAAACGATTAGTCATCATTTTAATGATGATTGTTACAGACTTACAACAGACAACATATTCAGAGATTCATGATATTCTGCACGAAATGTATATAATAAACACTAATAATTATTACGTTAGTTTTGCGCGACTGCTTTAAATATTATATTCCATTATTAGATAAGTATTGGCATGTGCCATCAATTGGCATTTGGCACCAATTATGCAAAATTATACACGAAAGTCGACCATCGCAAAGAGGCATAAATCGAAATATTTTTATTCTATTCTCACTTTCTAAGATGGATCGCATGATTCGCCATAATTAGTTAATAACACGACAAGATTATAAGTCAGTGATTATCAAATTATCTGCTAGCTGATGCGAGCATCTCAAATCTTCTTACAGCATGATATTTAAATCACGCTAGATCTCTACATGACGAATCTTGCACGCAATTAACGACTGCAACAATCGACTATAGAATTAGAAACCTGCGATTATCGTTACGACACTCATTTTGCATATTATCCTTCCTCGGTGCTCTAATATTTTGTTCAATTTAGCAAGTAGTTTCCCGATGAGCAAATGATGTGCACACTTGATAATAGTTATCTATTGTGTCTTTCTTTTTAACTTCGAAACTCTATGTGATTCTCAAGCATATACATGCAAGATAATCGACATCGTCGTCTGCATTAAGTCACCTGATGTATTCTTCGGATGGTCTTTAAGATTCCAATTACTTTAATAATCGAAATCGCAAAAGAACCATGAACCCTCTTCGCACAGGACGACCGAAGGAAGGATGCATAACTGGCTTTGATGTTAATCGTATACGCGCCACTCGACTGCGCAGCTCGCAATAATGCATTGCGCAATTGAACAATTACAATCGACCTACCTACCTCTGTTGGTCTGTCTGCCTACGCGTTCACCTTCCTTACCCATCCTCAGTGCCCTAGAGTTCGCACCTAACTCGAGCCCCTCCCGTGACACCTGTCTCTCTGGGACAGGTCTTTGAGACTCGGCCAGGCTCCACCTAACACCTCGTGGCGTATAGTACTTTTCTCACTGGCTTTTAGTAGCAACTCAGTGGGAAAAAGCAGATACGAAGGAAATAAATTAAAACGTACGTCAAGGCACTTATCATTCTATAATCTAATGATTAATTTCACTATATTTGCGCAGAGATTCTGCGAAATTACTTCTCAAATTGTATATTTTTATAAATTATGTTGTGTGTATGTGTATTATGTTATTTTTTGTGATCATGTTTTGTGTACAAAATATAAATTTTATATACATATACATATACATATATATATATATATATATATATATATAAATCTATATATTATGTAAAGCTATAAAAATATTTTATACTTATAATTCATATTTTATTTTTTATTTAAATTAAATTAATTAAATTAATTAATTTTTTTATTCGATTAAACTTCTATTCGAGAGAATTTTTTAATTTAATTTATTTATTTTATTTATTTATTTAAATTTATATTGCAATTTATATTAATTTATATTTAATTTATTTATTATTTTATATATAAATATTTTATACTTATAATTCATATTTTATTTTTTATTTAAATTAAATTAATTTATTTTTTTATTCGACTAAACTTCTATTCATCTATTCGAGAGAATTTTTTAATTTAATTAATTAATTTAATTTATTTATTTAAATTTATATTTTAATTTATATTTAATTTATTTATTTCTCCTATTTGATTAAATTTGCATTTTATTTAATCGAATGTGTTCTTTCCCAGTTAAAAAAAAAAATATCTAAATGATGTGCATCGTTGCAGTTACGATACGGAAAACGGAATCTCCGTAGCAGAGACGGGGCAGCCGAAGAATATCGGACCTAATCAGATTGAGGCGGTCAGAGGTCAATACAGTTACACGGCACCGGACGGCACGCCGATTTTGGTCACTTACACGGCTGATGAGAACGGCTTCTTGCCGAGTGGTGCCCATCTGCCAACACCTCCACCGATACCGGTGGCGATACAACGCGCTCTTGCGTATAATGCGGCTCATCCTGAAGAAGAAGAGCCCTACAGAAGATATTAGAGCTCGCTAGGACTGCCCAATTCGCTTCGATATATCAAATACGTGGAACTATAAGTTGCTGTTTTGCGATTTCCGCTTTTCAATGACACATTCCATTGTTTTATCTGTTTTTTGATCAGTTATTAGGTTCTTTCGAAGCAGATGGTTTGACGGGGTATTAATTATAGAAATAACCACCACAGTAAAAAAGCGGCTAAATTTTGTGTTCTCGTACGCCGAAAATATTTCGAAAGATCAAGGATCGCATTCGTCGAATATTGTTCCGCGCGATTGTTGTTCCGTAATTATTATGATGATCAATTTGATTGAGAAGTATTAATGTCAATATTATGCGAGAAAGACAAAGCACAATTAGGCAACATAATGTAAGATCGATGAGTACGAGTGACAAAAGTACAAGAAAATGAAAGATATGAAATATTACTTTTAACTAATAATAATTTAAAAAATGCTAATAAATGTGAGATAAAAATGTTTCATGATTCTAAAATGTTTTATTTTATTAAAGACTTATTCTTCTTTATGTAAAATATATGGATACAACAAATATGCATATATATATATACACATATACGTCTAATTAAAATTTGTTTCTCTAAAATAATATTTCATATATTTACATTTTAAATATAGTCGCGATTAAAATGTAACAAGAAAAATTAGATGAAGATGTTATGTTGAAAATGTTATAATTTTTATGGATACAATTAGTAAGCGATAATTATTATTATTAAAGCCTAAATTAAAGTAAAATTTACGCTGGATAAAATTATCATATATTACATGTGCTATACAGCATCCTTTGTCTAATGAAGTTTAATATTTCATAAAACGAGATATGATAATATTTTAATTAAGAATTATAAAATTGATTTATCTTTATTCAAGAGAAATCAATATTAAAGAGTTTATGTCGAGTGGTGCAATATTTACTAATGAATGATTGAATTGTTTCTGAATTGTGTCTTGAATTATTTCTGTTAAATGATTTTTTTGCTTGAAAAACTGAGTTACAATAAATTCTTAAATATACATATAATTTTATACTCGAATTAAACTATGCATAATTTGGCATACGTAATTAGATAGAAGTAATGTTGCTCGTACTTATCGTTGATTGCTCGTTTAAAATATGCTTTAACTCTAAACAGTATAAATTAAATAATATTCAGCTTTTATATGAAAATATAAATTTGACAGAAAACTTGTATGTTAGGATTATAAATTTCATACTTGTATATTATTAAAGAGAGAGTTAAATATTTTTTTATCAGAAAACTTGTGCAAATTTTTTAAGAAAAGAGACAGACTCAAAAAGATATAGATAATTTTTTATATATAATAAATTTCAAAAAAGAACATCTGTCAGAATTCTATATATTACACTGTTTAAAGTTAGCTAATAAATTAATAATATACCGCGTAATTAATAAATTAATAGTATTTTTTGGAGATTTGCTAAATATGAAGTGTAGTGCTTCGCTTCATTGATTTTAATACGAAAACATTACATTTACTGATGCGATTTACTCCTGCGATCAACGATTCTTTAGCATTTTATTTTTCTATTTTTTCCATTCAGCGAAAAATTATAAAGGCGAGGAAAGGAATAGAAAATTTCGTGATACTGATGTCTAAACGACAACATGTTGCATCACAATTGTACTGTATTGTATCATATGTATGCTATCTTATTAAATCGTTTAATAGCTCATGCGTATCCACGTATTCTGGGTATCATAATCACGTGCCTATTATTATAATGCGTCATCAAGATACATATTAAGGATCTGTTCTCCTTTTGTGCCTTTAATAAGATATTTAACAAACTGAATATGATCATCGTAAATAATAAATTATTTTAATACGCAAAACAGATACGAATCTTCTATTATATATAATATTACATATAAAATTTATACATATAAAATTATATAATAAGAACTAAAATATTTCACACGTCATTCGTTATTCGCGTACAAATATTAAAATACGGATTTTGCGATATTGGGAAAAATTACCAGAACTGCTCGGTGATTTTTCGGGATTATATGAAATTCGCAAAACTTGTCTAGCGGCTTACATTGATTTGTTTACATAAGAATGCTTTACAATCCGGCCGCGTTACATCGTAAATCGATTGCTTAATATGTTACGTCAGAATTTGGAAGATGAAGAGGGAAAAGGATGGTTCTTGTTTTGAATTTAATTTCGACGAGAGCTTGTCTTTCTCAATTCTTTCCTATGTCAGTAAAACAGAAAAATTCTTTTGAAAAATCATGCAACAAATCTACCTTCCCGTCTTGGCGATAATCGTTGGACCGAGTGGTTTTAAGCACGATATTGCCGGTCAATCACACGTGAGAACCTCAACAGCTCATTATAGACCCAGTGTGAAACGTATACGTGAAATTAGTGGCAATTAGATGCATCAATTTGAAATCGCTTTCACGAGAATAATATGTGTTATTATGACATAATCGCATACATCTGCCAAAAATTGATTAAATATATTAAACTTTTTGACTAAAAGTACATATTTCATATTAAAATATCGTGATCTTGCAATTATAAATTATTATAAATTTTATCAATTCAATTTGATTAAATGATTAAAAAATACTTTATTTGTTTATTGTGGTCGAATTATGCGACAATAAACAAAATATCCTAGAAAAAATCTCCAAGAAAATTTATAAGATTCCACTATTCAGAGTATCATATTTTATTGTCAAACATACTGTATTGTATTTATGTGTATTTATTTATTAGCTGAACGAAAATTTAAGCGATCATCGCTAATCATATCTGTCTTCATGATAGAAAACGCTGGCTCTAACAATCCGTTAATTAAAATGGTTTTCCGCCCTGTTCGCGTCAATAAATAGCCGTTTAACACAGTTACATACATACATTACAGCGACAAGATTGTAATCGCGCGAAATTTTAGGAGGACCGACCAGCCATGGAAATGCCATCTGGATTAACGTTAATGGTAATCGTAATATCATGTTAAAGGTGAGTCAGTGAAAGCTAATCATCGGTCTTCTGCCTATTGCATAACGTGCGAACGAGCGAGCGATGGAAATAGCAGAGTATCGAATTTAGTGACTCTACTATGACTTGATAGAGTCTCGAGATACGAGACAGATAGGTCATAAAGTTATGAGATTCAGAAGCGTGGATCCTCTTTAACAGTCTTGAGACGCTCCTTAAATTTTATTTCACACACGGAACGTGCGATAATAGTTGATAATTAGTTTTCGCGATTGCACGACCGGGCATGTCCTATATTTACAATACAAACGACCATCGTGACGTAAATTGCATCTGCAAATCAAACAGAGCAGTTAATCGAAAGGTCAATAGTTCCATTTTCTGATATTAATTGATGCTAATTACGACACCGATCGGAGCCATATTACGGTATTTCTGGCGTTCACTGGATATGAATGAGCTATGAATTTGACAATCCCATTGTGATTTACGAAGCTAATATCGAATTACGTGAAATATCGCGCGTATAAATTTGCGCATCGCGCAAGTGATGCAAACTTAAAGGTCGTTTGAACTATTTAATGTCTGGATTCTTTCGTGCGACGCGAAAGTAAAGTATTGTTGAAAATTATAATCGACAGTTGATAGTCAGTTATTACCAACTGACAGTTATTAATGGCGACAGTTAGTTATCGCGGCTAAATAGTTGGGTTCGCGTTTCGTGCGAATTCACGACTAAAGTGCATCGCTAATACGCGTGAAATTTTGTATCTATCAATTATTTTTCAAATAAAACATAAAATTAAATAATTATTATTACATAATTTTAAAAGTGTTTTTAAATAAAGTGTATTAAATAAAGTGTATTAAATAAGTATTTTTAAAAATAAATATTTTTAAATAATTTATATTAAATAATTTTAAAATATTATTTCTAAAATATATGATCGTTAAATGGAATTCATAATTACAATTATAAATAATGATGATATAACAATTACAAATAACGAATTAAAGGTTACGCACGTGCGTACAAACTATCACACATGCTCCTCTCTAAATATCGAGGTCGAAAGATCGTCGCTTTCCATGTTGCAATTCTTAGACATCCTGCATAAGTTTTAGAACAATATATATATTTAGATACATAGATAAATTTCGATAGCACATGTTATATAATTATAGAGTTACGTTGATATATCATCATGTAACTTGTTGAACATTCCAAGGATAAACGTTGTCATCGATTAATTATGAGAATCCGAAGATGATTCGATTCAATAAAAATCTGTATTTGATAAATATAATATATAAATATCTATATATCAATTAATTGAGAGAGACATAAAAAAATTTCTCACAAAATATATATTTTATATAATTAAGTTAATAATAATAAATATCACTTTTAAAATAAATTTTTATTTTTTTTATAAGTTTTCACTTTTTTAGTACATTTTAAAATTTTGGTATTTGATCACTTTCAAAATTACGAAATACGTGATGTTTCAATAAAGACAATCTTACACAGAAATGTAGAGTAGATAAAAATAACTCCTATAAATTCCTATAAAAATTTTTTCCTATAATAAATTTCTATAATAAATTTCTATAATAAATTTTTTTCTATAATAAATTTTTTTCTATAACGTATTTCTTATCATCATTATTTTATTATCATCATTTACTTTCTATTAATCAAATTGTATCGAAAACAATTAATTTTGATGAAATAAAACAAAAATACTCTTTTTCCAAAGAGAAAAAAATCTAAAAATTAAACATTAAAAGTAAAAGAAATCTATCGGTTTCAAAGTTTTATAAAGTTTAGTAAAGTTTTATAAAGTTTCAGAGTCTGCCTCTGCTCCTCAACGTGATAGTCTCAAAAAATCTATCACGCTATTTTAAAATTAATAAATAAAATAATTAATAAATAAAATAATTATTACAAATTATTAAATTTCTATAATATGATATAAAAGTTGAAAAAAAATGCTTTTCAAATTTTAATTTCAAAGATAAACATTTCAGTAAAATTACATTGTAGAAAAAAAATTATTCCATATATTCATAAAAAAATTGCCCATCTTTATCAAAACACGTTTTATTTTCAATTATACTTATTTATCATTTTACTATAAACAAGCATTCTGCGAAAAATTGCGTGATACGAGTTACTATTGTTGTTGCAAAGGTAAAATCGTGCGCATATGTGTGTGTGTGTGTGTGTGTGTGTGTGTGTGTGTGTGTGTGTGTGTGTGTGTGTGTGTGTGTGTGTGTGTGTGTGTGTGTGTGTGTGTGTGTGTGTCAAATCGCAAGCATAAACCGCTCGCTCGCTAACGAGTAGGGAAGACCAAAAGACCGATCGTAGAAAGAAGTGGATTGGCCCTTCGTAATCAGTAAGATCAGTAAAAAACACGCGATGCACGAAATCGATATTTTGCATACAATCGTG